AATTTTGATGCATTCTCCAATCATTTCGCTGGATACGCGCCTTTGTTTTCCAATCGCCTTCAGCATTACTTGAAATCTACTGCATTACCAACGCGGCCAATCGCACTATTTGCTATGGACACCGTGAGTGTCAGTCGATCAAATTAGGCTATGCGTGGACATAGGACTTGTGGCAAGATCAATATGTCTGCCAAAAAGTCCATTGCAGACGTGCTGAAGACAATTATAAGAAGCTCTGAGATATTTCTGGTGGATCTCCGCATGCCTATTGATAACGTAACATTGCATATTCTGTTATATTCTATTTAACCTGGCACCTGTGTTTAACTTACAAAAATGGCCCTGGTAAGTGGCGTAGGCTGTTTAAGCTGTTATTGTGATGTTTTCGCGATTTTGGTCAGCGCCGAGGTACATGCTTTTGCAGATACCTCGTTTGTTCATCGTTTGCCAAAAATCATGGTTCAATGTAGAAACCACACCAAAGGCTTCCTCGTCATGATGACACAACGGAACAGACAACACAGAACATTGTCTGCGTTGTTGCAATGTCACGCCCCAGCGCACGCCCACGAGTCAGGTACTGGCGCCACAGCGGTACCGACTCGCTCCCTTGGTGGACAATCGGCTACGCTATTGATTCAGTGGCGTCCTCTGTTGTTGCAATACAGCTGCCAGGACAGCAATTTTCCCTCCGCACAGCGCCAATCAATAACCAATATCATCAGCGCGAGCCAAGTTCAGTTGGCCCGGGCCCGTAATCCAGCCCAAAGCACCCGTTGGCGACCGGCGAGCAATTGTGCGAAGGGCAGGCGGCCCTGCAGATCGCGTGGGTGCCGCATCGACCGGGCTCGCCAGGCAGTAAAACAGCGGGCGCAGCCGCCGGCACCGCTGGCCCGGCCGCTGTATCGACGGCCACTGGCCGGCGCCGGTGATGACTATCGATTGTCGGCACGCCGCGCGACCGTCACACCCATTACACAGCCTTGTTAGGGCGTGATGAATATTTAACCAGCGCCGGCGCATTGGTGACTCGCCAGGCGGATGGTGACCTCAGAGACCGGGCCGGCGTGTGGCCTCTAGTCTATTTGATGAGGCTTTAGGTCGATGCCAGGCCGTGCACGCCGAATGAGCTCTCTAACGGGTGTCCCAGAGTCACCAAAAAAAACCGAGTGATTGGTTAGCGCTACAAGGCCGCTGCCGGAAGAAACGCTAAAAAAAACCTGAAAACTCAGATCGATGGCAGCTGATGCAATATTTAAAACCTCAGCTATTGAAAGTTTGCTTCTCACTGATTTTAAATAGAAGCCGGGCAATTATTGTGATATGAAAAATAACTCATCACACACAAATCGTCTTCCCGGTATGGATCTAGTGAAATATGTTAGTTTTTTTTAGTTGTAATTTAGGTGAAATTTACGCTAAGGTGCTGTGCTTGCGGGAGTAGTTTGTTTGTTACATTTGTGCCGCAGTTGTGTATTCATAACATCTTCACACCTGGCTTAATAGCACCTTTATTTTCGGACACTCGGTAGTGTTTCGTTGTAGTTTATCTGCAAAGCTTTAGCCTTGGTGTGAATGAACAGGGAACTAATAACGCAACAGTATACTTTTTTCCTGTTCGCCCATACTTACTTTGGTGTATCGCTTCCTTACTTGCTATTTGACGAAGCCAAAATTTGATAGCGAATCGTAACGGAAAGAACAGAAAGTGGGCAAAAAGGGAGATGCTACAAGAGAGTTCTTGCAAAATTTGTGTTTGACTTATGCAATTCAAAAATAATTGCTTGCATTAAACATAGGTGTAATATTTTAGGTCAGGAGATAGCACGGCCTCCAATCCCCCATACCAGCGATGGACAATATCCTCACTGCTCTAACTGTGTGGCTTTTTTTGGCAAAATACTACTCTCTCTAGTCTCTAAGCGAACTCTATTTCTCCTTAGAGTTTCGCGAGATCACTGGAAGCTACAGCTTTCCGATTTGTGTAAAAAGAAGTATGACACTTTGTGCGTGGTGCGTTAGCTTGCCTCTGCATCGCCCGTGAACTTAAATATTCCTGGCCATTGCTGCACCTGCCGGGATGAACCATGATTTCAAACAGGTCAAAAAGTGGGATTGTAAGTCAAAGAAAGCATACTGAGTGGGACGCAACATTTGACAGACTGGGGTGTTAGCATGAACCGGGCTAGATTGACTAACACGAGACCTAAAGCTTATAAGCCAGTACGCATCACATCACGGATTCGACAGTTGATGGCGATGTGCGCGTGTGACGGGTAGACAAGGACGCATGCGGGCGGTCCGATAGCGATGATCGTCGCTTCGCTGCTTCCACAGCATACGGCAACTGTAAAGTTTGCTTGGGGACTTGCATTAAACTCTTAACACGCTTTTGCGCTTCAGCTGTCGCTGCTTGAATTTAAACTTGATCACAGTTCTTGACAAATCAGTTAGGTGCAGCCGGTGCATTCAACACTGCCGAGCGACACACAACGGCAGTTAGAGCAAGTCACAGGGGCACGCATCAGTCTTGCTTACACATAGTGCTAGGAGACCCTCACGGAAGCTGTTACAATCGTACATACACGCACAGGAAAATATGGGGGCCTCCTGGACAAGCTCTTAAAAGGATTGTTTCATTAAGAGCAAGATATTTTATGCTACGACGAAAAAAGTATGCGGCGCTTTATCTGCATTCATGCGGTATATCTTTTATATTGTGCCAACGTAATTACGTCTTTTCTCTAAAACTAATATTATCACGTGACATGAAGCAGTGCTGCTCCACAAGCAAGGTGCAGGCCAACTCGACCCAACATGTACACCAGAAATTGTTTGGCCTTGATGGCTCGACGATGCTGTGACGCTTCTAATGGGCTTTATAATCGCAATCATTAATTGTACTACTATAACCAAGTCAGCAACAGGTAACAAAGTTCCGTAGAAAATCCTCCGTGATATTTGTGAGCTACTTACACGCGACCTCCCCTGAAGCGGTGGCCTCCTGGAACAGCGTAATGTCACCAGAATTAATCTACCCAATGAATCACCATGAAGAACGTAGAATCACAAGTCGCCAAAAAAAAAAAAACTCAAGTCCAGGTCTAGGCAATCCGGGGCGCAAGTAAAAGACCAGCACGTCGTTTGATGGCAGAGGGACGCGACATGGCAGAGTTTAGGGTCGATGTGCACAGCCGGCTCCGCAACGTCGCGCGTTAGCAATGAACAGGCTGTTTTGAGGGTAGTTTTATCAATCTATGCCAAACTAAACAACCAGGGAGAAGAATAACGTGATTACGACTGCATAGTATGGGTGAACTAAAATTTACAAAACGATATAAGAATTTAACAATTCCTGGTCCATGGTAAGGTAATTAATTAACCAGGATGTGGTCGTTTAGGCCATTTAGCCCAGGTCTCGAATACCACATGTTGGCCCTAAAACGATGCAGGTTGGGTCCTGCATACCGCACAGGAGGAGGACCATTCACTCTGACCAATATACACCAGAACGAATATGCTTTTCCATGAACACACTTGCCCACTGTGCTCAAAGTACATTTGAAATAAAAATGCAACGCAAATTAAAAAAAGATAGTTTCCCCCATTTTCCGTCCAGTTTCATGTCTATTCCGCCGTGCGTGTCTCCCCAACTTCGGGTGGGTGCAGAAAAGAGGCGTCGTCCTATGTCTGTGACCTGACGTGGTGGAGTTGTTTACTGACGGGCTTGACCGCAATGGCGCTCTCGCGAGGCGTACCTGTGGACAACAGGAACATCAGTTTACTCTATGGATGGACAACGCGGAATGGCTGAAATCAAACAGAATGGCTGGGGTGGGATCGGTGTGGTGTTGTGACAGTGGTGTACATACAATGTGTATTCTTGAAATTAATTGAAGGAGTCTGGATCCTTTTCTAGACTGCTGAAACTTAACCGGTCCGTGGGTCTGTTGAGGCCTGATCGAGGACTCACTTCGCATTGGCTACATTCCAGGTGCAGAGCCTTCCTGTCTGATACTTCGCCATTCCGAGACAAAGCACCAATGATGTTTGTCTTAACCTGTTTTTCTGTCATCTTCCTCATTCACTTCCTAGTGCTGCGAAAAAAAAATGTGCTACAACGCCCCCGCACACCTGCCACACGCGATAGCAGACTATTCTGTAAAATGCGACCAACTTTTCTAGAAATGCTATCAGCCAAACAAAAAATAAAATAGCGTCACTGAGAATCTCACCGAAATGAATGGTCATGTTCGTTAGAACGTCTTCATATTCCACTACCAGCGCTCCTCACTCGCCATAGGCACCGCGACAGGGTGTCCGCTTTGGTACACTCACTACTTCGTGGCTAAGCAGCAGTAGCGTTGCTGCAGGCGTATTTGAAGCAGTGGCTGTCAGTCATGACATCAGCTCATGTACCCAAGATAGGGAATGTTTAAGCAGCGGGGCCACGCGGGTTATGGCTTCCCACTTGTGGCATCGCTATGATATTCACCATATGATCATGCATGGAGCAAGCTGAGTTACAATTGGGTTGTCCCAGCCTCACCCATATTTTTTATGTTTTGTCGTCCGTGTATATGCCCAAGCTTCGTTTTTACGGAACCAAAAACTCGACGTATGTTTCCTCCTTTACGCGTGGCCCCGTATCGATGAGTTCCACGTTTCTTTTGTTAGCGAGAAAGTTTGATTGTCTTTTTATAACTGCGCAATTCGTTTCACAGTGTCAAGCCATTTGTAACGACGTGCTAGGCATAAGAACGAGCGTAGCCTCGTGTTATGAATACCAGATCTTTGCAACACGCACGGGCCGCACGCACACCTGTCCTTCGCCTGCACTTCCATGATATCTGCCAACAGCTGTGGCTTGTGCTACATTTTGCGTCAGGACACAGACCCGATGCAACGCATACATGGCAATTGGCCGGTGATCCACACCGCGCCGGGCCCGTGAACCTCACCGTGCGCCTGCGCTGTGACCCGGCTGCACTCTCCCTCAGGACACGGACCCTGTACAGTGCGCCTGCACCAATGCCACGGTAATCCACATCGTACCGAACCCATCAGCAGCCGCCCAGCAGCGGCTGGAGGCGCTCAAGGTCAACCAGGGCCTGTCGGCTGAGCCACGCATCGACGCCGCCTTTTACTTCGACCTGACGCGGAAGGCTATCCAGGCGGTCAAGTGAGTAAATGGACTGCGGTGCGAGCTAGGCGTTCAGCTGTGATCAGGACCATCGACAGGATAGGATCGCCGTCCGGGGCCCTGACGGCGATCACCGACCGGGGCCCTGACGGCGATCGCCGCCGAGCGGATGAGACTGGCAGGTCTGGTGGACGATTTGTAACGTCGTACAGAATGCAGTCCCCTCCAGCGTATCAAAGATTAAGACACCTTAAGTTCATCCAGTTTAAAAGTCAAGCCAAGTGTGTGTTCAGAGATATTTTGAAGGGAAACTAAAAAACTGATACATTTTGTAGAAAAGCCCATGTTGGCTACTTTGTCAAGGCTTGCACTCTTGAAAAATATGGCTGAGTGACACAGTTTGAAATATGTGCATTTAAATGCTCACGGACGAACTTCACCGCCCCACGGCAGCTCCTTTCAACATAAGATGCAGGCGCCATTGATACAGGTGGCGCCCCGATCAGCGTCCACGCCGCCATCTGTGGCTTCTGCTGGGTACCCAACTCGGCATCCCTGAAAGCTGTATTCGGTCTCAACAGACGGCTACGCAATTTTGCATCGCTCATATGAGAAAAAAACTGAATGACAACTAGGATGCACTACAGGAAGCCGTTCAGCAGCGCTCTCTGTGTCCCACAGCGACATGATGGTGGCTGGCCAGTTTCCCAGCGACTACTCGGTGCCCACCTGCGAAGCCTACCAAAATGGAGACCGGCAAACCAGGACCAACCTGGATCTGATGGGTGCGCTTCAAAGAGTGAGCATTAGGGTGTTCTAGATTAAGGACTGTCTGTCTGCAGCTGGGGACACAAGACGTCTTCCCCATTTACATTTCGGTTAATCTCCGAACTTTTCTCGGGATTATGTTTCGGATTGGACGTAAGGACATATTCCCTTGAATGCGTACTCATATGTCGTGGATGCTGAACGATCAACGTATATGCCTAAAACATGGTCATGAACGTCCGGCCTTCTCACCCTCTTCCTTGCTTCATCTTCTTTTCTTTCTCTTTGTTATCCTCTTTCCTGCAATGTCCTGTCCTTTATCATTTTTCCTCATCTTTCTTATCCTCTGCCGCCTCTACAAGTGGGGCGCCCTATCAGGACATCCTGTTTGTGCCAGTCACGCTGCATGCGCCAGCCACAAGTGGGTCGAGAGGCACCTTTGAGGGGGACCCGACCGGGCACCCAAATCACACCCCGCAGAGCAGAGCATACCCTGCGCGAGCTATACTCGGCGGTTGGCCTCTCGGGTGTATGTGGTTCCGCCTAATCCTTATCCAGTCCATTTCAGAGCTATAACAGAGCCCTGAAATCATCATTACTGGTCGGAAGGGCTCTGATCCGAATGCCCGAAAAGTCACGGACTGTACCGTATTACACAGAGGCCTGTAATGCGGTACAGTCTAAGTGAGTCAAGTAGGGTAATGCGGCACAGTCTATGAAGCGCTGTTAGATGGGCGATGAACGTTCCACGAATCGCGGAGGCAATGGAACGCGCAATGAACTCAAAGCGTACCATCCACACACGTTGCTGCGGACCAGCAAGAACATTTGAGGATTGCAAATCTGAGTTTATTTCTCAGTCCATCCTGCATCTGCCCTTTTAAATCAACATTTGTGTCACTCAATGGCGTCGAGCTTCATTTGCCTGGCTTTGCTGCAAATGCACTAATGTTAATATCGCGTTTTATGCCTGTTGTAATATGCTCTCCGTGCTTCTGGGCAATGAAGTACGCTTTTGTTCAGGTATTCCTTGATACAAGTAGTTCAGCTTGAACCATTCCCGCTGCTGAGGACACCAGAGCGCTGAGGATTGACCGTAGCCTGTCAGAGTCAGTAGACCAGTTCGACGCTCCCATCGCTGCTGATGACATCAGAGCGCTGAGGATTGACCGCAGCCTGTCAGAGTCGGTAGACCAGTTCGACGCTCCCATCGCTGCTGATGACATCAGGGCGCTGAGGATTGACCGCAGCCTGTCAGAGTCAGTAGACCAGTTCGACGCTTCTATTAGTCCCTGGAAGGATGTCACGCCCCATTGTTTTCCGAAATGATGCGCGATGGCGCCAAGAAATGTCGCTCCACGTCATACTCACAAGTCAAGTAATGCCACTCCACGTCGTACTTATACGTCAAGTCTACGGAATCTCATTTACGGCAGACTCTGTTGCAGGCAGGAGTCGAAAACGCAGCAGTATTGGGGAGACACTTAGACAAAAACCAACTGCATATGACACAACTTCCACACATTTTGGAGTGGGATCGATATTTGCGGTCGCTAAGTGCGTACGTTTTGATAGAGGGCTTCATTTTCTCTGTGTATTTTCACCGACTTCCAGAGTGCCTGAAGCGCAGAGTCTAAAGCACGAGGATCGCGTCTCGCAGGAGAAGGCTCTGACGCATGGCTTGGTACACTTTGTACAGTAAACAACAGACCAGCGTACCACAGCTACAAGTACATTCTTCACCTTTCCTTACAGGCGAACGCACACACGCACAAATCCTCCTGAATTTTCTCTTTTGAGTTGTGGGTCACGCCCATAGCAAAGCAAACCAAAGCCTGTTGCTTGGAAAGATGCGTGGCGTGGTCGGCCGTTCTTCTCGCGACTGCGAACCTCCCAGTGCTAAGAGCAGTGCGTCATCGCCAGATCAGCGTCGCGGACACGTACGGGCAAATGGCGCTGACATCCAACGGCATGTCACACATGGAGTTCTCGATGAAGCTGTTCAAGACGCACATCCTCTCCTCCCGCGTGGTCAGCCGCGACGCCGTCGGCATTTACACAACCGGAACTCCGGTCGGCGAATTCAGCGAACTCAACCAGGAGGCCTTCAACAGCTTCAAGGCGGTTACAGTCTACAAGATTGTTACGCTAGAGGTAAGCTGCAGGAGGCATCGCCTTCCGGAAGTTGTGTAGTGTTAGTACCAGCCCACAGTTGCCAGGGATGCTACACTGCACGTGTCCGATCTTCACACCGTCGGGTGTAGCTCCAAGCCCATCATCGACGCTAGTAACACGTTATTTGTTACAGCAACCACCATTCATTATCAAGAAGGGCAAAGATGCAAACGGAAAGACGATTTTTGATGGGTATTGTATCGAGCTGCTTCACGACATCCAGGAAATTCTTAACTTTGAGTACGATATCTACGAAGTGGAGGACGGAAAATATGGCGTGATGGACGAGAACAATGAATGGAACGGCATGATCCGCGAGCTGGTGGACAAGGTTAGTACCGAGAGTGCAGCAGCTATGGGTAGGAAACGACGGGTGTTTATGCACACCGTACTTTTGATAGCTTGTGACTTCTGCTTCACAGCACAGCACTTCACAGCAGTATGTTTACATATTAATACGCTTATGCTGCATAGCTACGCTACGCTATTCAGATCACATTTATGGTTGGTGCATACAGGCGCACTGCTAAGCAGAAACGAGTAATGTCTGGTTTATAACAGTAGTAATAAACAGAAACGAGCAATGTCTGGTTTATAAAATTAGTAATGAGCAGAAACGAGCAATGTTTGATTTATAAAAGCAGTAATAAATAGAAACGAGCGATGTTCATAAAAATATTTTGAAGTTAGCCCGCCACTGTACCGGCCTGCTCGCAGAAGGCGGATATCGCATTATCGGCGCTGTCCGTGATGGCGGAGCGAGAGAACGTCGTCGATTTCACCATTCCCTACTACGACCTGGTGGGCATAACCATTCTTATGAAGAAGCCGAAGGCTACGCCATCCCTTTTCAAGTTCCTGACAGTGTTGGAGACGGACGTCTGGGGCTGCATTCTCGGAGCGTACTTCGTCACCAGGTGGGTGCACCGGGGCCTGCAGTTTGCGATGGGAGCCATTCCCGTCGCAAGTAAACCCTACGCAGGGGCCTTTTACTGCGTTTGGTGAAGTCGCGGCCAGTTGTTGTGGTTCGAGCTTGCTCTATCTTTTTTTCTCTCGACATTTTTTCGCCACACCTTCTGTGTCATTTCTGCCTTGGCTGTTTTTTAATGCATGTGGTGATCTTATGATTTAGAAAAAATGGAAGGGATGGTTCGCTTTGACCAGCCGGAAATGAGATTGCGCTACGGTTAAATTACAGTGATGAGCAAAAGGTTATTTGGCTCGTGTTATGAAATAGAGATTAAACACACAACTCATGATCATTGCGCCACAGCTGGCTTCCTCAAATTTGAAGAATCTTGACACCAGGCATGTGGTTCGATAGTTTGGTTCTAGATACCAGCCAGGAAAACGGCCTTTTCTACCAAACGCTGGCAATGCATTCACCGGAATTATTCTCGTGGCGCAAAATGCAGTGCTTAAAAGCGGCCCAAACCCCTTAAGCTCAACCATCTTGCTTCGATACAAGCTTGGCCATGGAAGAATGCATGACAAGGTCAGTTGTCCAGACAGGTTCGTCGGATAATGGTCCCTGAGCAGTCCTCGTGACTTAGCTCTGTGCTTAACTCGTGATAAAGCGCGCATCCGTGCACCCGGCCGGAAAGAATGCGCCTGCGATGAGCTATAAAGGAGCCGGATGGATGGCGTCCGCCGGCCGCACCCGGTCGTTCCCATAATCGATGTCAGCTGATTGAACGCCGCCTGGCACACGTGCAGTGCGCCATCTTTCGCCGCTGTATTGGCTGCCGACCGATCTGATAAGCTTGCCAAAGACAGAGAGAAAGAGAGCAGGTCGCAGTCCGAGGAGAGGGAAAGGCAAGCAGGTCACAGTCCAAAGCGATCCAAACAGATTGGCTAGTGGGCTGCTCTTCACGCCTGGCTCTTGATTGCCTTACGTGTGACTAGGCCATTGCGAGTCAAAGCGTTGGACTAAATTTAATTATTTTGAGTTGTTTAACCTAAATGTTTGTTTTAGACAGGCTCTCCTCAAATCATGTCTACACGGGGCAACAAGGGTGCTCTTATGTGCATGGAGCTTTGGGACCTGTTTCAAACCTACTATAGCCTACCGAAAGGCGCGCTGTTCTCTTCGACGGCCGTACTAACAGCTTCAGTGTTTTGCATACGGAAGCCTACAATCTTAATTTGTTGCCGGTCTCATGAAAAATAAACTAACGACACCATGTCCGCCCATGCGTCAGGATGTGGACGTCACTGATAGCGTAATCGGTAGCTGAACAGCGGCAGCTCACGGTGTTCTGATCGGTAGTTGAACAGCGGCAGCTCACTGTGTTCTGATCGGTAGCTGAACAGCGGCAGCTCACGGCGTTCCGATTGGTGGCCGTGTTGCTGGGCGCGGCGAGTCGGTGTTATAAACAAGATGTGAGAGCGGGTTTCATTCAAGCGCTTTTTCAGGTGGTTTGGCAGTAGATGACTTTACCAGTTGGGTAAACCCATCGGTACCAAACCCAATGGAAGAGGTAACAGGCTTGATTTGGTTAAAATTTTGAAGAAATCAGGAGTAGGAGTACGGGTATAAGTAAATGAAGAATGGAACCAGATCTTACTTTCATCACAGTCAGCTCAACTGACACTTCTTTTACCATCATCGACGTCAAAAAAGATTTGGGTGTGAAGTTTCTTGGGGCTATTCCACAACCTACAACCAAAGTGCTCGGACAGATGCAAACGGGTAGGCAGCGGATGGATACAGCTGATCAAGACTGGAAATCGGGCGGGTATGAGCACAGCCACGTGGGTAGTGGGCGCATCTCGTGGAAGGAATGTTATCCATGAATGTCTTCATGCTTTTGGCATTTACTGTTGCAGTCCCGGGGCAGGTGTGTGACTCACAGCCGACCTCATCTCTGACTGAGTTGGCCGCATTACAGCATGAGGGGACAGAATGAACGAAAGCTATGCAAGATGTAAATGTTTTTCGATCAGCTATATGTCTTTTTTGACAGCTGATGCGTTTACGGCTGCACGCGCGGGATGAAAGAATCATTGTGCAGGTCAAGCATACAGTTTATAGCAATGCGCAGCTCGCAACCGGGCCATAGTCCAACGAGGAGCTCGCGCCAGCAAATGTCTACACTGAACGAACGTCTAGAAAGAGACAGTAGTGTCTCCGTCCATTACTTTAGTTTGACGACCATGCACCACGTTCCTCCTCTACCACGGGCACACTTTCCCTCCTCGCCAATAGATGTCACCACCGCAGCGCGCTTCCGGGCACGGCGGACCGTGGCGGGAGCCCAATGGCGCGTAAATCCCAGCCGGCGAGGCCCGGCAGAGACCCGGGGCAGCGTGGAGAGACGCCTGACGCCAAGAAGTGATTATTGATTGACGCCCGTCCCTGTTTTTCAGCATTCTGCTCTATGTCTTCGATCGCTTCAGTCCCTACAGCTATCAGAACAACAAGGAGAAGTACCTGGAGGATGACGAGAAAAGGGAGTTCAGCATCAAGGAGAGTCTGTGGTTTTGCATGACTTCCTTGACGCCGCAGGTTAGTACCTGAGGAAAGAAACCATAAAGACCATGCTACAGGTTTGCTGAGAAAACAATGCGATAAATTTCAGTGCACATGACATTTGTGCGGTGTTTGAAACTAATACGCACTCTACTATCTCGTCATACCAATGTACTTGTGCAGTCACTAGCTTTCTGTGCGCTGGAATAAGGAAATCGTTTTAAAGTAGAGTGCTGGATGCTGCTGCTGGATGCACGGCCACCAATATGCTCAGCGTACTGAAATCTATTAAAATCTGCCCTCCAAAGGATAGCTTGGGCTCCGTCGTGACTTTCTAGACAGTGGTTTACTTGCCCTCTATAGCCCTATCGCCCTATTGCCCTCTATTTGCCCTCTAGAAATTTGCTTGCCCTCTAAAGGGCAAGTAAATATTTCCAGGTTGAAGTACGGAAAAATGGCCCAAATCAGGTGCACTCCACCCACCCATAGCATACGATTATGTGGAATCCAGCCTGGAGTATAGCTTCATGACCTCAGTAAGGGAATCAAGTCAGCTCATAGGGCATATGGACGTTGCCAGGTGACCACTATGTCTAACACCTGGCTGTAAGCTTGCATCGTCGGCTGATCTTAAGGCCATTGCCAAAAATGTGGATAGGTCATGTCGCTCTGACGAAAACGCACTGCACCAAGCTATACTGCACTAGCTCTGAGTCCGATGAACACATCAGCCAAGTCTTTCTCCTCTGACACCAGCTGTACTGTGTGATCCACCAAGACACATATATGGTTAATTTGTCACCGTGTTTATCGATGCGTTAATGTTAATAACATCGCTACCTCTCACGTTAGCTGACGCCGGACAGGGGGCTACAAAATATCTATCCCTAGTAAACTCTGTCCGTTTCCTGGTCCTCTCAATCTGAGGGTCATTACGACGACGACTGCACCCCTGTCCGCTACCGTGCATTTCGGCATTTCAGCACAGGAGCATGAAAGCAAACATGAGAAATGAGTTGTCGGTTTATTAGCTGACACCATGTCCTGTGATACCATCTGTTAAACTTCAAACACACCCACACCCACACCCACACCCACACTCGCACCCGCACCCACACCCACAACCACACCCACACCCGCGCCCGCAACCGCCCCCGCACCGACACCCATGCACATGCGCACACATTTACACAAAGCGCCACGGCTATCGGCGCGGAGGCTGTGGCTTTGGAGCGACCGGTCCAATGGCGGCAAGGCAGCGGACAGCGATGGATGAGTGGCGGATGGCGATCAGTATGCAGGCCGCTTGGGACCATTGTTTTCACCGCACGGTCCCATTGTTGCTGGCAGGGCGTGGCAAATCGGCTTTATGCGGTAGCGTTGTATACAGCCGTCCGACGCTCCGTCCGCTGTGCATGGGTCGGCTACATTTCCACCAGGCAAAATGTATCAGCGCATAGCGAATGGGACGACCATTGGTCACGTGACGCGCAGCGTCTCGTGCCGCCCTGGGTGCCTTAGATGCTGATATGCAGAGATAGCACTTAGACGGGCATTTATGGCCTGTACTTAGACACAGGGCAGCGCTTTTCGTGCGCGAACGATTGTGACTTGTTATACAAGTAGTTATTGCCCGAGCAACTGTCGCAGTTGCTGCTGTGATTTAGTTATGGTGGTGCACGACGGCTAGGTGGAAATTTGCTACACGTATATTCGTCACTCTGATGAAGCCAGTATGTCATCTGTTTGGATCGACCCACGGACCACCGGAAGGCCGTTCTCCTCCGCACTTATTACCTTTGCTAACTAAATCGTGGTTCTTTGGGATAGATGTGAAATGATAAAGAACGGAACCACAGGAAAAGCATGTTATTCTCTCCGCCAGTCCCTTGGCCTCCCATGAATTCTTGCGCAGTCTCTGTCGGAATGAGTCACATTTCTAATAGCAAGATGCTATGATTTTTACCTATAAATTAGTGAGTCACAGAAATAACGTTAACACCCGCTACGAGCGAGCTTGAGGTCGTATTCAGAACTGAGCCGGTGAGTTAGAATCGCTTTTGAACCAGGGTGGGAGTGAAAAATTTCCACCGCAAAAAGACCGTATAGGGGTGAAAAATTGCATTCACAAGGGTTGGAACTTATGAGTCTATGGCAGATGCTTCAGCAAGCAGACATACATCTCAGCTTGGCATGGAAGTTATACCAGAAACATGACAAAAATGTTTTTGTAACGTCTTGTCATTACAGTGAAACAGAATGCATCAAAGAATAGCAATTTCGTAGTAGTGTAATGAACATACAAAATATGTGACATCAATATTTTGATGTCGCACTTTGCACTTCCCTTCCATAGGATTTTTTTAACACAGAACAAAGCAAAGGAATTCAACAACAAAAACAACGACAACGACAACACTAAAAATCGGCAAGCATAAGGCACTTCAAACAAAAAAGCCCCGGACTCCTGCACATCAGCACATTGCCAAACCAAACACCACAGACATGCCTTTGGCCTCTGTTAAGATAGGGTCTGGAAACATGAATATTATGTCACTGTTTCTTGCAAAATGTCATTGCTTATTTGCATGAAATTAACCTAACTAAGCCCAACCTAAAGAAGCCTCACCTTATCTCATCCTGTCTAACATTTTTATATCACAGCAACATTTGTGAGTCACTGATTCTTGCAAAATTTCTTCTGTCGCTTGTCATGCAATTAACCAACTTCGCCTAATTCAGAGTCACGCGTATGTGGAATATCACCTCAACTCACCTCATCTATTTCTTGCCAGCAGCAGTTGTGATAAAAACATGATGAATCTTATTTGTGGGTGGTTTCAACTTGTGTTTTGGTTCAATTCGTTTGTGTCAGCTTGTTGACACCAGACAAAATTAACAACACGCAAATAAAAGCCCCTGAAATCACTTTGAACAACTTATTCTGGCCGTCATCGTTAGCCTCCATCTAAGGGAATAGAGGGCGTGCTCCACAAAACATTCTCTCTTCTCGAAATAAAACATAACTTATAGATGGTCACAAAACCAGTTATGCTGGTAGCCTTTTCAGCTGCAGCAAAGGCACCCATTTATATTTTGTTGTTCATTTACCAAAACTTAAAGTTTGAGATGTTTGCTTCACATTTTAAATGGAATGGTCACACTTTTTCCTACAATCTAATATCCACTTCATATTGTAACTGCTATGCAGCTTAGGGTATTCCTGGGTTAAAAAAAATATAGCGCATAACCACAGTACAGTCATTTACCGGTCAGAAAACCACGGCAACTATGGACAACATCTTGTTGAAGCAGACATAAGAGACCATCTCAACAAATTTGAGGGAAGTTATCAAGAGTATGGAACAACATAGAACAATTGTATGCCTTGTGACAACATAATTTGTCCTATGAACAAAACTTGATAACTCAAAGCGGAACATGACTAAATCTGGTTACACGTCGTGTGTTGAAACTGGCAAGGTAAGCATTTAGTTGCCCCACGGGAGAAACTTACTGGGCTTTTTAAGGTCAGGCTTCCTTCTCCTCCGCACAGGAAAAGTCAGCATCTTTCGCATGGTTTGCTGACAGACAGGGTCATCCAACCCATCCACAAAATATAAATGTGCCCTCCAATGCCCTCCATGCCCTCCAATCCTCAAGATTAAAATGCAAAATGAGTAAGAGGATGCATGCATAAGAAAAGTTTCATAGGGCAGAATTTCTCTACCAAGCACTTCTGCATTAGCTGCGCCAGGTCTGTCCCAAACCTATATGTAGCAAGATCAAAGCAGGAAAATGTAACGTGGTGAGATAGTGAAACTAAAGTGGGTTAGATTTAACATTATTGAGCCCCGCCATGACCCAAAAACGGCTGACTGGGGTTTAACAGGGCAAAACGGGCGGTAAAAATAAGTCCCGTGCTTCAAATTGTCTCCTTTATTCACTATGCATTGTTCGCTCTCGGGTGCATATCAAATATGTTTGGGCGGCTGGGGAATTAATCCAAGTTACGAATGAAATATACGCAAGTTTGCAATTGGGACATTTTGAAGAAAAAGTGGTCAACACTTAAAGCCATAGATGATGTATTTAAAGATAATCGGAAAGAAAGGAAAAATAAAGCTGTAGCCCACTCGTATGAGACCAAGAAAAACACCAGTATCTAGATAAGCCGAGTTGTTTGGCAACATTTCGTGATCAACTAACTTGACTAAAAATGGGTGAAAATTAGTGCTGAAATTGTGATATTCAGTTTCAAGATTTTATTTAGCACACATTTCTTGAATTTTCACGCCTACATTTCGGGAGTTGTACAGTTTAGTGGCCAAGTTTCTTCGGGTAAAACAAATACGTAGAGTAAAATTATCTACCTGGCTTGGCTGGTGTTTGTATCAGGCTTTGCTTTGCTGCGATGGTTACGTGGTGTGACCCCCAAAGATTGGAGATGCGTGAAAACATTTTATTTGGCAGACAGTTCACAATTGTGATGCATTTTGTAAATAAACCAACTTTGATACATGCCAGCGGCTGGAGTCGTTGAAGCTTTCGGGCTTGAAGGTACCTGGTGCCCTTGCTCTGTGCATACTTAGGCATGACTAAGATGTAGGTGAGGCAGGATATAGTCATGGACGTTCAAGTTCTGTATAGTCTTGTTTATGTTTGTTGGTTTCAAGCGACCTCAGTTTTAGATGATGCCTTAAAACCTCTGAAAGGGAAATACAGGTTTGGTATGAGTGGTTAGACAATGTCAGGTAGGAGTAAAAAATTCACGTCATGCATGTAGCAAAGGAGTAAAAAATTCCTCCTCACAGGGTGTTGCTTTACATCCAAAGTTGGCAATCCTAGAACACTGAACTGAGGTCAGCTGACATCGCTCAACTCAAGCTGAGCAGTGACAAGACAATTGACAATGATTAAAGCGCCCACGTCATGGAGTTTGTGAAGACATTGGTCTGGATAAGAACCGCATTTAGCCCCTACCCTAAAACCAATCGTTTGATGGTTCCAATTAGAGACAATATTGAAAAAGATTT